AGCATGGGAATTAACGCTCAAACCCCTCGGGAATCACATTCATCTCCGCGACGATGCATGGGTCGGTGCACGCACGACACAATAACCTCTCAAAAAAATAGCTCAACCATTCCCCTTCTCGCGAGGAAAACGTAACGAGTGTCACTTATACTCCTCAAACGAAGTCGACCAAGAAGCATCCCCATTTCGCGGGCTAGTTCTAAGTCATCACTCATGTGCCCAAGAGCAACGACTTGAGGCGCTCCTGTTCTGAAATGGCCCAATGACTATAATTGACCCAATCCTCTTCTACCCTTGGCACGACCCAATAACAAGGGCCCAACATTATGGTCGACTACGCTCTAGGAAGACGACCAGCGGTGCCCGATACGCGCGCCTGACTTGAACGACCAGTATCTCCTTGTCAGCCCGACACGAGTTGAGCAGGAAACCAGGAAACGTCCAAAATGACCATCTGCCCGTAATCCGCCTCCTCCTTGGAACCAACGGCTAGTTACGAGCATACTTGTCCGTTTTGACCGAGTACTGGAAGTTACCTATTTTTAAGGATCCGCGTATCTAGGCCAAAAAATAGGAACCAATAGCTACGCGTTTTGGGAACTATATAAACCCTAACACTTGTGAGGGTGAGGTATCCAATATTCAAACCTTAAACCCTAATATCTTGCTTGTATCTCTTTGCACCCATTCTTACTTGATCATCAGAGTGTCTTGCAGGTACAACCTCCCTTTTCTCCTCAACTTTCCAACAAGACAGACACCATCCTTTGGCCCATTTGCAGATTCTGATCAACCGGTAAGATCAGTAACCGTACGTAATGCTTGCACCACTCAAAGAGAGTCACTTTCAAATATTACTCGATCAAGATTTAAAGCTATAACACCTGCCATAAGAAAACTACTTGAATTGTCTCTTAAATATCAACCTCTGTTTGTAGATCTACAAGTCTTGTTAAAACCTGCATCCACATTACATTTGACCCAACCGATAGAAGGAGGGCTCCAACTATGAACCTGTTGAATTCTGTCACTATTAGCTTGGGGCTGTTGAGCCGAAAACTACTCTTGCCACCTATGAAACGCCAGCCAGCCCAATTTATTTCCTTCCTCTCTCTCTCTCTCATTGTGCCAAATAAAATCATCCATGTTCTTCCATAGTACTTCAAGCATGACTGTAAATTTACCGGCTGTATTTCTATCCTCTGTACTACAAATATCAAGAATGATCTCCTTTATGTCGTGTAAAGAATGGACTTTATGACCTGTTATACTATTTAAGCCCACTGCCCCCAGAAATGATTGGTCTCCAAACATCCAAAAAACACATGAAAATCATTCTCAACATGGTTACTACATAACGCACATTCTCCGGGGCAATCCACCTGACGCTGACAAAGTCTTTTTCTCGAGGGAAGACACTCTTGACAAATTCTCCATAATAAATGTTTCACTTTAGAAGAGGTTTTGATGTTCCAAATACAACTATAATTCTCAGGATTACCTTAGTTAGATCCTTCTCTCTGAGCGTTCCTCCACACTCTATACCCCGACCTCGCACTATAGTTACCACTTTGCTCCTCCTTCCAAATCAAAGTGTCCTCTTTTACTTCCTCCACTAACAGAACATTGGCTATTTCCTCCATTGCAGCAAAGTCAAACATATCACAAAGTGCTCTCATGTTCCATTGTTTAATGGTTGGAAGCATAAGATTATTAACAGTTATATCATACACACCTTGCTTCTGAGGTCTTGTATTCCAAGATTGATAGCAAATCTTGATAGCAAATCTTGATGATGGTTATGTATGCCTCTAACTAGTGTTAGAGAGAACCTTGCTTGTACCAATTGTTAATTATAATGGAGATTTTAAGTGGTCTACGGGTCCCGTGGTTTTTTACTTCTAGTTAACAAAAGTTTTTTCATGTTAAAATTGTGTTGTATAATGTGTTTTTGTTGATTGTCGTTGCATTTAATATTTGAAAGAATTTGTGTTGTTGGATTATTCAGTTGCCTTTGTGATTTCTTCCCAACAATATAATCTGAGAATTTTGAGTTGCTCTATTTGGTAAAAATAGTAATTGATTGATAAGCTAACAGATAGCTTATAGATTATGGTCGATAGTTAGTGACAGATAACTTATATCTGATGGCCGATGATTTATAGCTGATAAATTAATTGAAGTATTTAGTAAAATTAGTAATTTAACTATTTGATAAATTAAAATGACATAAAAAATATTTAATATATAATTTTATATTTTAAATTTAAATAAATTATAGAGGATAAAATTATTTTTTAATTAAAATAATAAGAATAAAGATAAAAGAAAAAATAATAAACTATAAATTAAAATATTATTTAAAATAATGTCTAAAAAATAAATTATAAACTCGTAATAAATTTTTTTTTATTAGATAGATCTTTTATTGTCATACGAATTTATAAAATATAACTTTAAAAAATCAAATGTGCCTTTAAAACAAATGTTTCAAAAGCTGAAGGGCACGATCGTGTTTCCTATTCTTTATTTATTTTTTTGTCTTTAATTAGGGGTGGTTAAATTTAAACTAATTTAATTATAAATTATAAAATTGATTTTAAAAAATTGAAAACTGCAAAAAAAAAGTTAAATATTATTAGATTTTGATGTTATTTTGTAAAAACCGTTCAATTTAAATCATATTTTAGATTGATTTTTTAAAATTGAACAAAAAACCAAACTGAACCACATGTATATATTTTCGTACATATTTAATTTTTTATTAATATGAAATATTATATTAATTTATTATTTGATGACACTTATTTTTTAAAATTTATATATTAGTTTAATATAATATTTTTATTTTTATTATTTCATTTGTTTAAATTATTATCAATTATTTTTATTTTGTAATATTAATATTTTTATATATAATATATTATATCAAATTTATTATTTATTAATATTTTTAAACTCTTAATAAAAAATAATTTATAATTTGGATATTCAAAATCTGATTTAAATCAGACTCTATGATATTAAATTGATTTTTTTAATCAATCATTCAAAATTAAATCGTGATACATATAAATTTATCTTTAAATTAAATATATTTTTATTTTAAAAAATTGATCTAAATCGAACTACAAACATCCCTAATCTTATTTCTAAATATCAATAGTTTAGATTATCATACTTATCTTTTCTATTTTGTTTATCAAATCCAAAATCACATAAAATATAATAAATAATTCCTGAAATAAAATTAATTAACTTATCCTAAATATTAAATTTTAAAAAATCAATTATTTTAGTCATAAAGTAAAAAAGACACTCAATTGTTTTGTCGTGGAAATGTATATTTGTAAATATATCAAGAATTTTTGGTCGTTCAATTATTTACTTTGGAAGCACGTGGTTTATTTTTAAAATGTGGATATCAAATGTTATATTATATTTAATAAACTCTTTAGGTCAATTTGATGACAACTCCTTTATCTCTAGTCTCCAATGCATCATCTAAATTCCAATGCATGATGCATCATCAATACAATAATTGATTTTTGTATGTTAAAGCAAGTGCCACAGTTAAAGACACCACCCAAATTATAAAATCCTAGTGTTAGAACATGTTCTTTTTGACAGAAAATTATAACATGTTCTTGTTTTAATTTCTTACGTCACTTCAGTTCCGTAGAGTTGAAAAACATCTTATTTTTAATTTCAAAAATATTTTTGAAAAATTAAAAATATATTTTCGATACGTACTATATATTATATATTATGAGACTAAAAATGATTTCATCCTATTTTAAACACAAAATAGCACATGGGATATATTTTCGATTGTAATTGATTTTTTATTTTCGATTAATTAGTGTAGAAAGATTGAAAATTATGCTACCTTAATATTTTATATAAAATCAGAAATGTATTTTCAAAAAAATCAAAAATCATATTACTTAAAATAATAACCAACATAGATAAGCATGATAAGGTTTATGTGGTCCATAATATCCTCTCACTACTATAAATAACATCATTCATCTCATACCAAAACACAAAAAATCAGTATGAGCATCATTTGACATGTTGGAAATATTCACTTTACCAATAATACCCCATCACAAGAATTTAATATCACCGAGTACATCCCTCTTGAAGATTTGTAATACATATTGCAGAAACTTCTATCATATGACGACAATCAGAAAATTGTGAAGATCGAGTATCGCTTATCATCCGTTAACAACGAAGAGAAGCTTAAGTTCATCAACCATGAGCTAAAAACGAACACTGATTTACACTATGTGGAAAACCTTTTTCCGTTTAGAATAAAAAATCCAGTCGATGAAATTATGAAGATGTTACAATGTTCTTCTTAATATTGAAGTATGTCGTACAATCTATGTTCAAGTCCCTCATGTATTTTTTGAGAAGTTAGTGTATCTTCGTTTCTATAATGACATTTTCCGAAAATATAATATCAATTCGGTACCGAAAATATAATTCCAAAAAATATAGTTTTTTATTATATCTTAATGCGTTCCGGAAATACATTTTTTATTTTCAAAAATATTTATGTATTTTCACATGATGCGCTAAAAAACTATGAAGTGGATTAAGAGATTCCCGCTCAAAGTATTTACTGAAAATAATGCAAATAAAATAAACCCAGTAAATAATACACGTAATTTTATCAATAAAATAATAATATACGTAAAATTAAAAAGAATATCGTATTTAATTCAATATGAAGTTTTGATTACAATTCCAATACTTGAGTTTCTTTTCCAACGATATAAGTGTGCAAAAGAGTCTAATGAGACAGCTTTGCCCAGATTATGCTAATTCTAAAACTTCAGACCTTCTTTATTACTAAGCTATAAGAAAAATGGAGAAATTTAAAATTAAAAAAACAAAAGAATGCTTGTGATTCAGAGTATAGAAGTATGAATGCTATCTAGATTTGTTTTTCCACTGAAGTTTAGTACATCTGATCTATGCATTCTTGTTCACTTGTGAAAAAACTTCCAGATATCTCTGTCAGCCAAATCCTTAACTAAATGAACTCCAAAAATGCCCTCTTCATCCACCATATTTCTCAGCTGTTTCACTCCATTACTAAAGCCAACATAGTGTTTCTTAGTCGGAGCTAGATATACGACTCCATATTGAGGCCTTATACACTGTTATGAAAACCAGAAAAGAGGAATTATATTCTGCAGATATGAAGGTTAGTATAGCATTAAAATATGAAAGGGCGAGAAATAAACCTTCTTAATGAGAGCATACAGCTTCTTCAAAGAGGTAACGGAGTACGGAATCTCTGTCATTAAAATAATATCATAGCCACCATCGCTCTGGTCTGCCTCATTAGCTCTTTCCCATGCTCGACTTCCCGAGAGTTTCCTAGACCTTCTTGAACTAGATTCATGTCCAATGACGCTGCCTTCTTGGCTACTACATCCGTCCATAAAATCTTCCTCAGAGAAGCTCAAACTCATTCCAGGTGTCACTTCATATCCATCATTTTTCACAGTAGACAATACAACAGGTAATTCATCCCAGTCTCCAGCATAAAAGTTAACTGATGGCGCCAGAGTCTGTCTTGAAGGAGTAAGGGGAGTTTCTGGCTGTCGACTCTGCCTATCACGAGCTTGCTTCAGATTACCAAGGACATTTGGTATAGTTGCGCATCTTATAGTCTCTGCATTCTGATCTTGAAAATGCACCATAGAAGCTCCCTGTGAAATAAAGAACCATTTAGATAAAAAAGTATATTATTCCAATGAGTAAATGTTTCTTTGAACCTGGGAAAAAATTTATAACTCTTATTTGTTGTATTCCCAACCAAAAGGCACTAAATTTTTCTCTTCTTGCCTTGGTGTTTGTTTGTAAGTTTGCAATATTACCTGAAAAAAATCCTAAATCTTAAGGTTGGTTGCACCAGAACATTGTTCTGTCTCTTATAAACTTTTGTCAACACATTGAAGGTATAAAAAGAAGGTGCAAGAACATTGCACTGGGAAGCCCAATTTTGACACTGTTATACATTGAATAATTTAAACCAAAAATGCTGATTGTAGTTCAAGTATTGAAACTACAATAAACCAAGACCTACACAAACTAGTGACAAATGACTCAGAAAAAGAGATAGTGAGCTCAGAGACCTCAAGTGCAACTATATACCTTCAAGCAAGCAAAGATTCCAGGAAGTGCATAGCTACAATTGAGCTGCAAGAAACATGAAGTAAAGAGATTACTATGTTATGAATAATAAATTATTAAAAAAATACCATTAAAATGGTTGAAAAATATGGATCAAGGGAGAAAAAAAGAAAGCAATCTCATGACGGTGTAGCTAATGTTGATTGAAAGCAATTGGAAAATGAGAGCAAGAGAGTGAAGCAGAAGGAGAATTAAAGAGAAGCAAATCAAGACATAATTGGAAAATGAGAGCAAGAGAGTGAAGCAGAAGGAGAATTAAAGAGAAGCAAATCAAGACATAATTGGAAAATGAGAGCAAGAGAGTGAAGCAGAAGGAGAATTAAAGAGAAGCAAATCAAGACATAATTGGAAAATGAGAGCAAGAGAGTGAAGCAGAAGGAGAATTAAAGAGAAGCAAATCAAGACATAATTGCATGCAATAATCTCTTAGACAAGTTACCTCAAGTACTCTTTTTCCTCTGAAGGACAGTTGCCCATCGCGAATCTCATTCTTAAGAACACTGACAAGATCAATGGAACTGGCCCAGGATTTTAGATAGCCTGCAAAGTCAGATAGATCAATCTGATATGGCCCTTCCTTTGTATTGATTGGAAACAAATTACATGTATAATATATCAATACGTATTGTTAAATGATATTATCCTCAACAAGAATCATGTCATTATTTTCTGACACAAATTTGCTTTGTAGGTTGGTTAAATAATTTGAACTGCTACAGCAATAACCTTAGGGATTGTCCTTTTTCTTTCACGCCAAAAAAGGTTTTGCTCTGAATATCAAATAATACTAAGATTCTCTGCTATATTAATTCGTTAAATGTGTTATTTTTACATAGGAATGCACTAGAAAGAAAATACCGGTTCACAGGAAAACTATCACATGTCCAATGACTACAGAGTACAGACCAAAATTTCATGTACATACCATCCTGTTTTGAGGATATTATCTCTGAACCACCGAACCCTATGATATCAGCAACACTTACTATTCCCTGCAGGAGGTTTAAGATAGCATCAGTTTCCGCCCAAGTATTAAACTAACTTATATACAAACATAAGCTCTAAAATTATGTCAAGATTGTTGAAGACAAAAAAAAAAAATTTGAGAAACTTTTCAAGAAAATGAGGAGCCGAAAGAGTTCTTGTTAAGAAGAGTATCGTAAATTCACCATTCAAAGGTGCACAAGGTACGACAGCAATGTAAAACTAATTATGCCACCCTCAGAAAACACTTGCTATGAAATGAACTATGCTGAGAGATGTACCTTAAAATGGTCGATATTTTCGCCGCCTTCCTTGTCAGTGTGAAATGCCTGCAAAGCACATATTTAAATCCGTTACACTTCCTCCCACAGTAACCCCAAAAGTAGGCCAAAAAAAAAATCAACTAAAATGCCTTAAATGCAATGTAAAGTTTCTTTTTCAATGTTGGTAAAGGTGATGCGTTGGCCGACGATAAAAATGGGAGTTGTACCTTGGAAGGAAGAATCTCCACTGCTGGTGATGCAAGATGAATATCTTTCTCAAAAATGGAGGATGTTGTACTGAGACTTCCACGATCATGAGGCACTAGGCCAGGCAAGCATTGCGCAAGTATCGCCGGTGCACGCATCCTAACTGGTAATATAAGCTACTCTTGTATATTAGAATTAGGGATAAGATACACCACTAATCAGAAACATCCAATTGCAGTGGATTTTAACTATTTCTTTGTCTATTTGATGAAATATGTGAAGACTCGTAAGATAAAATAAAAACATATCTATCAGAAACAGTAATTTCCTTTTCCAAAAATGTTTAAGCACATATATAAATGAAAATTTCTTCACTTTTAATCTCAAAAAAGAGGGCAAATTTTGAGGAAAGCAAATAGAACACTTTTCAGTTTCCGATTAGTAAGAAAATTAAGCGATACAGATAAAAACAAGAGAATCAACCAATAATATATAAAATTTACAGTAAAATTCATACGAGAAAAGCCTAATTAGACATGATCATGAAAAATAAAAATAAAAATAAAACAAAAAAAATAAAAATTACCAGAAGGAAGAAGAGAAAGAGAGAAGATGGTGAAAGTTAGATTTGGTGATGAATGAGAAATGCGATTGAAGAAGTTTTTTCAAAGATGTGTAAAGACTAAAATGGAATGTGTGTATGTAAGCAAGAAAAGAAAGAAAAAGGAGAAACGGAGAAGAAGCTTCTACGTCAGAGCCTGCAATAGCGAAAGTTGGAATTCCTAAAATACCCTTATGGGTAGTTGAGAAATGTGTTGTGGGGTCTCGTCAGATCGCATGCTTTTTGTCTTTTTGTTTTTGATGAAAATATTGCATGTAGGTAGGTGTTCACAATGGAATATGGAATAATCCCGTTTTTTAATAGAATTATTATATCACTCTTTTTTAGACAACGTAATTGAAATATGTACGGATTTTTTAGGTATACTAACCCACACAATAAACAATAAATAATCTATAACCAAAACATCATTTATACTATTTTTTATTCTTTAAAGTATTTTAAAGGGTATGCAATTTTCTTTTAATGTTATAAGGGTCGGAAATCTACAAATTTCTATAATAAATTTTTATTAATTTTGATGAACAAGATTGTTATTATCATATGATAATTATGAAAAATAAGAAGGAAAGAATGTATTTGTCTACGGAGTTTTTCTCTGTTCACAAATTATGAAAAATTTTATTATTCACTTACAACTGTAAATTTTATGAATACTAAATACAACTTGATTACAAAAAAAATAGGGATTACTTCCTCTATTTATAGATTTATGTTAGTTTGTTCTCTAAATCAAAGTCTAAAACTATAAAAGTCTAAAATATTTATTTTGGAATTAAATCAAATCTATCTATTATAGACATAAATCAAATCTATCTATTTTAGATCTAAATCAAATCTGTGTGTAACAAACTACTTCCACACTTCCACACTTCATTGTTTTCTGTCGAACAAGTTGCTTCGACATAAGGAATTATGCTTTCAACACACCACATAATTTATTGTGTCTAAGCTGTCTATATTCATCATAACTCTTAGTCTTCTAAACACTTCGACACGCACACCATTCATCATGATATCTACAATCTGGTTCTTAGCTCTACAGTATCCCATCTTCATCTTCTCTTCTGCTACATGTTCTTGGAGATAGTGGAACCTCATTTCGATGTGTTTTCTTCGACCATGTGCGATCGGATTCTTCGCCAGGTTGATAGCTGACATGCTGTCAATCTTTATGGTAATTTCTTCATGATCTTTCCCTATTATTTCTTCGACCAAGTTCGTCATCCATGTTGCTTGACATGCACCAAAAGAAGCAAATATGTACTCTTCTTCACACGATGATAACACCACTATTGGTTCCTTTCTCAAACTCCAAGCAACAAATGCACCACCTAGCATAAACACACATCCTGCTGTGGATTTTTGATCATCAGTATCACTACACCAACTTGAATCAGTGTATCCCACTAACTTGTATTATTTTCCTTTATCAGTTGCCGGAAACAGAATGCCATAGTCGAGAGTTCCTTTCAAATACCTCAATATCCTCTTCGCCACTGCTAGGTGTGATACTTTTGACTTCTGCATGAATCTAATTACCATACATGCATTATATGCTAAGTCAGGCCTCGTATGAAAAATGTATCTCAATGACCAATTAAGTCTTCTGTATTGGGTTGGGTCGACATCATCTTCATCTACATCTTTCGACAGTTACAGTCTTGGTTCAACCGGTGTCGTTGTCGAGTTGTATTCTTTCATTTCAAATCTCTTGAGAATTTCTCCTGCATATCTTCTTTGATGCATCATGAAACCTCTGATGCTCTTGTAGAATTCGATGCCAAGGAAATATGAAATGTCACCCAGATCAGACATTTTAAATTCCTTGCTGAGATCACCTTTAAAGTCTTTGATCTCCTTCTTACAGCTACCTGTTATTAACAAGTCATCGACATAGAGACATAGTATAAGCAATTCACTATTGTTTCTTCTTACATATACTCTATGTTTTGTTTTGTATTTCACAAATTCCTTCTCCCTTAGAAAGCTATTTATCTTCTTATTCCAAGCTCTTGGAGCTTGCTTCAATCCGTACAGGGCTTTATGCAGTTTGTACACCTTTCTCTCTTCACCATGCTTCAGAAATCCAATTGGTTGTGCAACATAAACTTCTTCATTTAAGGGTCCATTCATGAATGCACACTTCACGTCCATCTAACATATGTGCCAACTATTCATTTCTTCTAGACCAACAACCAACCTGATTGTTTTGATTCTAGCCACAGGTGAAAATACTTCATCAAAGTTAATTCCTTCTTTTTGGAGAAATCCTTTCGCCACGGGCCTTGCTTTGTGTCGAGTTATTTCCCCTTTGGGATTCATCTTCACTTTGTATATCCACTTGACATTAATTGCCTTCTTTCTTTGAGGCAGTTCGACAAGTGACCAAGTGTTGTTGTCTTCGATTGACTTCACTTCTTTGTTCATTGCTTTCACCCACTTTAAATCTTTCAATGTTTTAGTTGCATTGATAAGTTTCACATCTGCATAGAAAGTATAATGTACCAGCTCACCTTCATCATCAACTACATCATATAATGTAATCATACAGTCTTGCAACCTTGCAGGCATGCGTCTTATTCTCTGAGGCATGCTTGGTCCTGGTTAATCTATAATTGCTGGTTCATCTTGTTGAATTTCTCTTTCGACTTCAACTGCTAGTTCTTCAAATAAGATTCTTACTGAATCTTTCTTGACATTTTTTGTCCAATCCCATTCCTTAAGCTTATCTATGATCACGTTCCTGCTGATCATAATCTTCTTGTTCACTAGGTCGAACAACTTATAACCTCTTGTTGAATGATATCCTACTAAGATCATTTGACTCGACTTGTCATCAAGTTTTCTTCTCAGTTGATCCGACACATGTCTATGTGCAATAGATCCATATACCTTCAGATGAATCAAGCTAGGATTCACACCAGACCAACATTCTTCTGGCGTAATTCCTTATAGCTTCTCAGTCGAACATTTGTTTAATATGTATGTTGCACTTGACACGGCTTCATCTCAAAACTCTTTAGGTAAATGCTTGCTTTTTAACATACTTCTCACCATATTCATGATGGTTTGATTCTTCCTTTCTGCAGTTCCATTATGCTGTAGAGTGTATGGTGACACCACCTCATGCATAATCCCTTCTTTTTCACATAATTTATCGAAGTCCTTCAACACATACTCTTCACCACCATCAGTTCTCAAAATTTTGAGCTTTCGACCATTTTGTCTTTCGACCATGGACTTCAACTTGGCAAATACCTTAATCACTTAACTTTTCTTCTTGATCAGGTAAGTCCACAGTTTTCGACTGAAATCATCTATGAATGTAACAAAGTATTTGTCACCTCCCATCGAATCCACCTGAGTTGGTCCACATACATCAAAGTATATGACTTTGAGGATAGCTTCGACCTGCTTCTTGCATCCTTGCTAAATCTATTCTTATGTTGCTTCACCTGCACACATTCCTCACATAATTCGTTTGGAATATCAATTTCGTGTAGTCTTGAAGCCATATTTCTTCTCTTCAAATCTCTTATGTCTCTGAAGTTGAGATGGCCTAGTTGATAGTGCCACATCCATTCATCCCTGCTAGCTTCAGTTGAAAGGCATATGTGCTCTGTCATATTAAGTTCGATCTTGAAGGTTCTATTCTGAGACATAAGAGCCTTCAAGATTAATCTTCCATTTGCGTTGACGAATCTTATCATCTTGTCTTCAACCGAAACATTGTAGTTATTTTCAACCAACTGCCTTATACTGAGAAAATTGCTCTTCATACCTGGTATGTACAACACCTTGGAAATTACTGACCTCTTTCCATCTTTCCTCGTGACCATAATATCACTGATACCTTCAGCTGCTAGCGTATTGTCATTTGTAAATTTTACCATATTCTTCATTGAGGGTTTTTGTAACACCCTCTAATTCCTCGTGCTAATATATTGCATAAATCAGAGTAAATCATGCATATCTCAAGATGGCATCGCATATGCTTCACGAAAATGAAAAAATAAAACATGCCTATTGGTAGTGATCATAACACGTATTTAAATTCATGTTTGTATACATTTAATAATTATGCATGTCACAGCGGAATACTTGTGTCTTTAAATGATACCAACACATGAATCTTGAAACAACATCATACAATAAATCATTAGGCACTAAGGCCATCCATGTCAATATCTCCACATACAATGCCAAATACGAAATGATAATATTTGTATCATGTTCCTAATACATCATAACACAAACAAATAACATAAAGTATGTCTAATATCTCATACAAATCAAACATGAACCAAGCAATTCCCGTGCTACATGACAAGAGAAATGACTCACTACCTAAGAAAGCCGATAAATAGAACTAGTTCCTCCGTCTAATCCTTACTATAAGCGCCACTAACTTCGGTACCTGAGCGATATCGTATAAAACATCATTCCAACAGAAGGGTGAGAATTCACATAATTATTGAAATCATAAGATGATATATAATTGATAGCATACATGTATAACATAATTATTCTCACACTTCAAGAGTTTCATCAACAAATTATCACTCAAGTAGTCATGCTAATCACAAGTATACATCAAAAGTTCCACAATTCAATTGATAATTAATCATGAATACTACAAATATAACATTCACATCAATATCATATATTGTGCACCAATTCCAACAACTCCACCTTGACATATGCAACTCAAATGCAGCTCAATACTATGCAAATGCATGTGGTACCAAATGTTATCCTTGTCAGTCCAACCGAGTCCATTCCTCAGACAAATAACCATCCATAAAAACTCGATTCGGCCTTAAGCTTTCAAACCCCATTCAACATTAGGTTTGGGACAAGTCAATAATTCCCACGAAATTACCAAACATTGCCTCTTGACACAAATGATGCATGTACATGTGCAATCTCAACAATCATATGCAATTAAGATCATCCCTTAATCTTAATCATACAAACATATTTTACATAATTCATCATATCTGAATCATCTCACCAAATTGCACATCATACATACATCATGTCAATAATCACATACAATACATACTCATAGTATTATCAACTCAACACATCACAATAACACATAGCAAATAAAGCCAAGCAATGTTATTCAT